CCCCGCCTGCCTGCCTCCTCCCCTGCGTTCCCTCCCCGGCCGTGGGAGGGATCTCTGCCAAAGACTTTGTGATACGAGTCCCGTCCTGGCCCCGGGGGCCTGCTCTTCGGTGTCCACCGAGCTCCCCGGGGCCGGGCGGTGGCTGTGGGCGAGGGGACGTGCGGGGCAGGGCGGGCAAGAGGTGTTGACGAGCCACCGAGCAGAATCGCAGTCGGGATTCACTGTCAGGACAGGGAAGGGCCTGTGTGCGATCGACCGCAGAGAGATCGGGCAGCGCAGGGGCTCGTGCCCGCCAGCAGCGACCCTGAGCAGGGCCGTGCTGGGCCGTGCAGCTCAGCCAAGGGACGGGAGCGAGGCCCAGTCGCAGCCGAGGCGGGGAGAAACCAAACCAGCGCCAGCCCGGCGTTGCTTCCTGTCTTCTTGCTGCCTCTTCCTCGATGTTGGTCGCCCCAAAGCCTGGGCAATGCAGATTATGGCTCCATCAGGCTCTGCCCAGCCCTGGCACCTGCACAGCCAGATGAATTGGGAAGGATAGTCAGATGGTCAGGGGTGCGGGAGGGATGAGGGAGAGGCGCTTTTACAGACTCTTTAGGCAGGTCAGGAAACACCTGGCTCTTCCAGTAATGGATTGTGCAAGGGTTTAAAAAGAAGGCCATTCAGTCCATCTTACCCAGAGCTGGATCTTTTGCTCCAAAGGGAACTGCAAAGGGAGAGCTGCTTTCTCAGGCTCCCTGACTCCTCCTGGGAGATGCAGGTAGAGGTGCCTCTCGCTCAGAGCTCCCCATGTCTGACTTAGTGGTGTGAAACAAGTGGAAACATCTGAGGGAATCCTCAGCATTGTCCTATTTTGAAATACTAAGTGGTCAGAGGTATTGGGCAGAGTCTCAGCAGTCTTTCGTTCCCCATGGAGATTGCCCCATTGCTCCTAAACAGCTGAGGTGCTTTGTCATCTAGCATTTGGGTATGTTGTTTGGTGTCCAGTCCTCAGTGTGTGGCAATTTCTCCTGTTGTTGAGAACAACACTCCCTGGCTTGCAATGCTGGATTTGATCACCAGCTTGACCATATGCTGGAGCAGATGCTAAGGGAAAGGGCCCTGAAGGCTTAACCAACACTTCTTCTCCTCCACACTTGGTGCCTCAAGAGCAGTGGAAGAGTGAAGGTAAGGGGGCTACGTGTCAGTCTTCTCTGGTCTCCTCTCCCCACCTGGGCAGCCCTTGCTCCCAAGCTCCTGCAAGTTTGACCCTGAGATGAGAGAGTGGTCAAGATGCAAAGATGCCTGCTTCTAACCAAAGCACAGCAAATGACTCAATGGCTTTCAAACCTCAGTCTCTTTATTACAATTCTCACCCTAATAACGAAGCTGAAAAAGTTCCACATCATGTGGGAGAAGATCACAATGGCTGTAAATTCAGCAGAATGACTTTTTGCATGACATCTTGGGGCCAGAAGTATCCATGAGCCAGAGCACTTCCTTCTGAAGGGACAATGGAAAGAAGGCACAGAGGGCAAACAACCCTTCCCGAGGGTTAACCAGAGACACGCCGACATCCTGGCTATAGCATCCATTCTTACACACTTCCAGCAGGACAGAGATCAGAGACATTTCCATTTGTGATGAGACATTCACCATAAGAGTGGTGAAACCCCTGCTCCAAAATTAGCATTTGAGGGGTGTTGCTTTAAAGTGTGAGCTGAGGATAGCGTATGCATGTAGAGACCACAGTGATATGCAAAGTATCGTCAAGTATTAGAAGAATCAAAACCGCCTGAGAAATGTAACAGCGCATTTTGCACATGATCTGTTTTATCAAGGGCTAATGCAAATCTATTTGCCATTCCTTTTCTTGACAATTGAGCAAAAAAGTTCAGGGGAAAACCAGAAAAGGCAAACCCAGTTCTTTTCTGAGTTATGGATGTGCAAAGTCATGGAAGATACTGTTGTTGTACTGGTACAGCTGTGAACAGGGTTTGACCTGGTAAGTATGAAAATGCCTGTCAGGTTAGGTCATTTAAAGCTGTGCCTTTCTTGCACATTAATTGTCATTTAAATATTTGTTGAAAAAATCCTGGATCTGTGGCCAAGCATGAACCTGAGCTTTAGAATAAGCCCCAAGCTCCCCACCCCAAATTGCCCACTTGTGAGGAAAGAGATGCTTTCCTATGGGGTACAAAGGGAAAAAGGGAGGGTCAATGCAGTGCACTGTTCCAGGGTAAGACAGAATCTGAAAATTTTCCTTCCCTTGAGCCCGCAAATACTTGCAAGCTTCAGTAGCATGATACTCAGATTTAATAACGTGATCATCTTGTCCCACAATGAATAGTAACTGTGCCTCAGCTTTCCCTAGTGGCATCAGGCTTTGGTTGCCAGGGGCTTGAAAGGGGTCAGTAAAGGCTTTAGAAAAATCAAGAATATTGGAATCAATGACCTTGACCTGTTGTTCATCGATGGGCAAAGGGGGGATGGTTTTATCCTTGTAACAGAGAGGAATAACTGTATTGGCCACAGGGCCATTGAGGGAAGCAATGGCTGTGATGTTCTTCAGGAAGGTGGCCATGGAGAGAGACAGATCAGCTCCTTTGGAGTAACCAAGCAGGCCAACCCCTGGTCCCTTCACCTGGTAGATAGGAGGAAATCCCCATCAGTACTGAGCTGAAAAACACAACAGCTAGTTCCTGGAGGGGAACACTGTATAATGCTGTGAGTTTGCAAAACACTCCGAAAGAGGTGATGGCAATGATTAGTTTTTCTTCTGGACAAGTGCCAAGCACCTCCTATGCACAAATTTCTTCCACTCCCGTGAAAAATGTTCCCTGGTGCTATGACGACAGCCAAGAGAGAGCAAGCACGTTTGAGCATAGGTTGCAGGAGTAAAGTAAGACTATTCAGAGCTAGTGTGGAAATGTTTTGGTAGTGGGGAGCTATAGGGATGGCCTCTGTGAGAAGAGACCAGGGGTTGCCCTCACGTCGGACAGAGACAGTTTCAGCCAGCTGCAAAATGGACCCGCTGCTGCCCAAAGATGGGGGGGGAGGTGTTTTTAGCTTTGTTCTTATTTCTCACTATGCTACTCTGTTATTAACTGGCAATAAATGAAATTAATCTTCCCTAAGTCAAGTCTGTTTTGCCTGTGACGATAATTGGTGGGTTATCTCCCTGTCCTTATCTTGACCCACGAGATTTTTCATCTTAGTTTCTCCACCTGTCCTGTTGAGGAAGGGGAGTGAGAGAGTGGCTTGGTGGGTATTTGACAGCCAGCCAAGGTCAACCCATCACAGCTAGATACCGTCAAATGCTTTTTACATTGTATTTTTTAGACTAAGGGCTCATACGGGGGCATGTGGTAACAATTCATGAAGGTTGCTTTGAAAAATGCTTGTCTCTCCTGCACAACCTCCCCACCTTATTATGTCTCAGACACCATCTCCATCACTCCAGATGACAGTACCTGAATGGTACCCACCCTCTGCCCTTCCAGTGCATATCTGTTTGACCCTTCCTCTTTCCTAGAGCCCAGGCACCCAAACTCCTGGCAGATGGAGCTGGGTGAGCATTTCAGCAGCTTCCTCCAGAGATAACTCAGGCAAAGTGACAGGCACTTTGGAGAAGAAGCACTCCCAGGGAAACCCAGGGGGACATGGAGGGTGCTCCTACCTGTGGGTGCTGCAGCATATAGTTCACTGCCTCTTCAAAATATTCCAGGTGGAGTTCAGTTGGCTCCTGGGGCAGATCCTCATATGTGAAATAAGCCAGGGCCAGTGTGACAAAGCCATGATTGGCCAGCAGGCTGGCTCTGTGCTCAAAAAGACCTCCTGTGTATCCATGTATGTCGATGATTCCTGGAAAGGGGTCTTCTCCTGGAGTAGACAAGACAAAGAACAGTATTGCCTGAAATGACTCCTTTCAATGTTTCTGTGGTTTAGAGTGCATCAAACCAGGTACACAACAGGAACTGCAGAAAAGCATCTTCTGGGGAAAGGACATGACCAGTCATTTAGCTGTGAGCTGCTAAATGACTGTAAATTAACCGGCAAGACGCTGAGCGGCAGAAAGACAGATACCACCTGCATAAGATGCAAATCCATCTTAGTGCTAATAATTGCCAAGGGTATTTCATTTCATTTAAGGTCCACTGGCAGAGATGATATGTGTGGTGACTTTCCTCAGTTTCCTCTTCCCGCTCTCAGACCAGCCCTTGACCACCACTTGGCTCATTTTAGTTCTTAGCAGATGTCTGAGGCAGCCCTTGTAATGTGCCTTGGAAGGGAGAAGAGGAGCCACAGGGAGAGGTAAGCTGAAACCTCTGAAAAGTTCAGCTCAGATGCTTGGGATTTGCTCTGTTTCTCTCTACTGTTATGCAAATTAAAGGAGCCTTGAAATGGTTTAGGGATAGACTCTGCATGCCCAGAACACCATTTCTACTGCTAAAACAAGAGAAAGGATGAACATTCATCACTTAGCAGATGTAACATAGCCAGAACATGAACGTGAGTTGTGCTGCTCTCTGCAAATGTAGGATCTCCAATCCTTCTTCTCCTTTGTAGAAAAACTTTGATAGGTGCATTGATAACCACATTGTTCATCCCTACAGAGCACGTCCTCAGCAGAGTAAAAGAAGGAGTATCAGGCTTTGAGCTAGAACATAAGGTTAAACTAATGACCGTTGCTCTAAAAGTAGCCCCTGCAGAAGCCGGACCATGATACAAATGTGTAATATACAAGAAATGCAAAAACAATCCAGTTACAGAGCAAAAGAAGCATAAGGACATACAATCCCACTGTCCTCCACAAGTCTAAGAAGACAAAATTGACTGATATTAAAACAGCATGGTCTTCAAGAACTTCAGTAACAAACTGTAAGTATTTGTGTTTGGGTTTTAGAACCATGGAGCAGCAATTGGTATAATCCCAGCATCTGAATCTGAAAGTGTAGAGATGGCAGTGCAGGCAGTACTACTAGAAATGGAACCTCATGCGTGGGACACCTCAGTGCAGGACAACTCCAGTGTGGTGAAGTTGTAGTGGAGAAACACAGCTCTGAGCAAAACTGTGTAAAAGAGATGCTGACTATGGCTGGAGCTACACCAAAGACTGGCTGTGGTGATGGCTGGTGAGAACAAACTCCTGGGAAGTCAAAGTGCCAGGGGCTGTGGCAAGTGTCTAACATTTTAAAATGCACATTATCCAAAGGGAGCAGGTCTGGGGACACTGAGTGAATGAGCCATTGCTGGACTCACTGTGACTCCAGGCACAGGATGCAAAAAAGTTTGGAGACAAAATGTAAGTGACTTCCTTCATCTCCTGGTTAGCGGATAGAGGGTAGAAGTGAGGCAGGGGAGCTATCCCTGGCCTTGCTGCTGAGTGGGATGCTGAGCATGTGAAATCAGCTGTCCCAGTTGGTTCCCTGTTCTGGAACACCAATTCTGTCTTGAAAATTACTTTTTGCATTTGGCCTGCCATAGCCCAGCACTGGGCACAGGGCACTGTGTGTGCTCCCCATACCCTGCGGCATGGTCCCCATGCCTGGTCCTGTTCCTGCTCACTCCTCCAGCCCAGGCCCCTCCAGTCAAGGTAGTTGGATGACTTGCAGCTGCCCTGGCACAGCAAGGCCCTGGCCAGTGCCAGAAAAACAGGATGGCCACAGCTGGTACTCCCCAGGGGGCAAGAAAAGCATCGCCCAGATCCTCCCCTCTCGCACCGGGACTCTCCGCACCCCGTCCCGCAGGAACGCCCGCTCGTGCTGCACCTGGGCCAGGATCCGCCCCGGGGGCTCCCCGTGGCCTTCAAACACCTCCAGTTGCAGGAGGAAGGGGGTCTGCACATCCCGCTTCACCAGCCGCCTGAAGGGCTTCTGGGGCTGCAGAGCCCAGAGCAGCCCCATGGGCTCCAGGCCGGAGAAGCTGCCTCCCGGCAGCGCGGGGCAGCGGGCGAGG